GGTGGGGGCCACGCCGCACCTGCGCAACCTCTCCGTGGCCATGTGCACCCGCTACGTGAGTGCGGCGGGAGGGCCGTGGGTGGGTAGAGGGGTCGGAGGGGGGCGAGGGAAGGGGCAGACGGGGAGGGGCAGCGGCGCGGGGTCCGGGAGGGGGCGGAGGGGGCTAGGCATGCGGGGGAGGGATGGGGTTCCGGAGGCCGGGCCGGTGGGGGCCGGACGGTGACCGAGGGCCTCAGGCGCGCGTCCCGTGCCCACCAGGTGCCCGCCGGGGAGACCGCGGATTCGGCGGCCCCCCAGGGCTGTCCCGGGTCGGGGAGGGGCGCTTGGGGCTCCCCGGGACCGGGGTCTTAGAGGGTTGCGCTGCCCACCCGGGGAGAGCTGCGTCCCGCCGCTCCGCTCGGCTGGTCGTCCTCCATTTCTGGTTGGAGTGTCAGGGCTCCCTCGTGGGACCTCTGCTGTCCGCTCACACTCGCCCTGGGGGGTGGTATCTGTCCCTGCTTTTCTTGCCGGCTCCGTGTTGACATTTATTTACATTTTCGGCCCAGACCTCTTTCCCGCTCCTCCCCTCCCCTCCCACGTCTCCCTGGCGAGTGTACTAGGCAGCTGTCCCTCAGCATTCCAGGCTCCGCCCCTGCTCCAGCAGCCAGCCCTTTTCTGTTACAGCAGCTCAGTCCCAACCTTGGGGTCATCTTTGGATCCCCTCTGCCACGCTCCACGCGCCCAGTGTCAGTGCAGCAGCAGGCATTGCTGTCAGCAGAAGCTGCAGAATCCAGCCTCTTCTCACCTGTTGCCTGGGCCAAGCTGCCATCGCTCGTGGTGGCTGAGGCCCCCCTTTGCCACGTTATAGGTTTCTCAGAGCTGCTGTTGCAGAGTGCCACAGACTGGGTGGCTGAGAACAACAGGCTGATTCCCTCCGAGATCTGGAGGCCAGAGTCTGAATCAAGGTGTCAGCAGGGCTGGTTCCTCCTGGAGGCTCTGGGGGAGAAGTCGTCCCGTCTCTGGGCTTCCAGTGCTGCTGGCAGCCTCGTCACCCCCAGTCCTGCTGCCAGTGTCACAGGCCTTCTCCTCTGTGTGCCTCTGTCTCTTCCCTTTTTCTGAAGACACCAGTCCTACTAGATGAAGGGTCCTTCTCACCTTAACTCACGTCTCAGTTACATCTGCAAAGGCCCTATTTCCAAATAAAGTCACCTGCACAGGTGCCAGGGCTTAGGAGCTGGACGTACCTTTTGGAGGTCGTGGCTCAGCCCTCGGCGCTGCCTTACAGCCAGTTCCCCCTGGGCTGCAGTCAGTATCGTCATCCCTCTGCTCAGACCTTCCGAGAGTCCAGAGCCTGCACTGACCTGCAGGCCCTGTCAGCTGCTGGGGCGCCCCTGCCCCTGTCTGTGCACCACTCGTCCCTCTGGGCTCCTCCAGTCCTTCACCAGGCAGGCATGCCTGCTGCCAGGAGAGGCTGCACAGCTAGGCTGACAGTCCCACTGCAGGGGGAGGCCGGCCTGGGACAGGAAGGGGGGCCGTGGGACCCTGGGTGCTCAGGTGATCCAGGAGCGTTGGGCCTTGCAGGTGGGGCAGCACTGCTCTTTGTTTTCCTTGCAGGACCCCATCCCTGTGTCCACTGCCCTCCTTGGGGACATGTCCGACACGACGTCCACCGGCCTCGCCCAGCGCTTAGGTAGGTCCTGCAGCTTAGCTGCCCGAGTGCCTGGGTGGGGACCTCGTTGTTCAGCGGAGCCAGGAGGTGAGTCGCTGGAGCAGGAAGACTCTATCTGGGAGGCGGACCCCCGGTCTCTGCGGGAAGGAGGGCCTCGTACACTGGGCTTCTCAGGAGCTGACCTGGTACCAGCACCGCTCGGGGCTTGTGCTGCCCACGGGCTCCCGTGTGGCCCTGGCTGCTGTCCAGGCCGACCAGTGACAGGTGATCATCTCCTCCTCGTGGGAGGACAGGGTGGGTGATGCCGACGATGCCTAGTGGGCGGTGGCTCAGGTAGCCTCCGGGGGTTCGGTGGGGCCCCGCAGAGGAGGAGGGACCTCCCTTCGCCGCAGGTGATGTCGTTCAGAGCTCAGAAGGGTGACGGCCTGGCCTAGGGGGGCCTGAAAGGGCGTCAGGCAGGGCCCCGAGGTTGAGAGCTCCAGCCCCCCTGCACCCCAAACACGCGTCCTGCAGATGCCCGGGTGGTTCAGGTAAAGGTGCCCTCAGCTGGTATCCATGACTGCCGGGTGGTCCCAGGCGCCGGGGACCTCGACCGGCAGGGCAGCCTTGCCCCCTGTCTGGCCTTCGTGTTCACAGTGTCCCGGCCACGTGTGGAGCCCCGGGTCCCAGCTGGGGGGTGGCGATGAGGCCGGGCCCCGATTTGAGGAGCTTATTTTGCAGTTGTGTTGACGGTCCTGTTAGCCTCATCTCTGGGGAGTGGGGACGTGTGTGTCAGTCGCTCCGGGACGCACGCGTGTGGACAGCCTGGCCGTGCGGTGGTGGAGGCACTGCCAGTCTGTCGAGGGCCGGGGCTGGCACAGGTGGCCCACAGGTCGCACGAGACGGGGCAGAGACCTGGTGGCTGCGTCTCGGGGACGTCCACCGCACTTGTCCTTTAGCCTGAAGCTAGAGCAGCCTGGCTAGTAAGTTATTTTGGTAACTTTTTATGAGGAAGCAATTTAAAATTTACAGAAAAGCCACGGGAGAGATATAAAGGATTCCTGCCTAGCCTTCGCGCGGACTCCCAGGCGCCGTCACTCCTGCTCTGCGTTCGAGCTGCTGGCTTTTTGTGACCCACGTGAGAGCAGGTGGAAGGCCTTATGCCCCTTCGCTTCACTGCATATTTGCCAGCGTTTCGGGGTGACGCACCCCCAGCAGGCAGGCCCCGTGTGCCAGGCCTGGTGGAGGAGGGAGGGAGGCTGCTGGTTTGTGGAGCTGGGACCGGTGGGTCCCCCCAGTGTGGACAGAGTCCAGGAGAGGAGGGCGGGGGGAGCTCGTTTGATGAGCCACGAATCACCTGCTTATTCCAGTGACGTGAGATGGGCTCCCGGTGCCCTTGAGATGAGGCCTGGAAGCAGTTTGTGTGCGAAAACTAGGGTTCTTTTTCTTTTTTGGGGGCATTTTGTGCAAACGTTGGCGTTCTTTTTAACATTCTCTCACGTGGTTTACGTCGATTTATAATCTGCATAATTTGAAACAACACAGACCAAAAAATACATTCTTTCTAACTTAACTAAAGTCAGACGTTAATGGAGGCTCCCACCTGCCCGTATCGGCAAACCCGGCAGCCCTCGGCCACCGCCCAGCAGGGACGGGCACACGTGGTGAAGATGCCAGCACCCCAAGGGGACAGGCGATGCGTGTGCTGAGGCCACAGAGGACCGTTCCGCAGGGAGAGGTCACCTGCAGTTGAAAATGCGTTACTAACCATCGTTAGTTGTCTGGAGGGTGCCGAGAAGAGACAGGTGCCCCGAGACAGTGTCTTGTGTGGAAGAGGTGAACGGCCTGGGGGCGCTGGGGGCTTCAGTGTGGACGGGGACCCCTTGCCCTGTGTGGCTCTAGGGGGCAGGGTGGGGCTTCCGGGTGGACCGTGCAGGCGGGATGGTTCTTGGCTCGCAGAGGGACTGGAATCAGTGGCCTCCGGGACCGGGGACTTTCCTGCCGCTGAATGCAGGCGGGTTGAGCGGCTGTGGCTCGACTGCCCCGGCTCTCTCCCATCCTCACCTCTTTGCCTTTGCCGATGGGACTGACGTAGCCTCTGACTTCGGTGGGGGGAGGAGGGGCTTGCACCCGCCCCCTGTGGGATGGGGCCCAGGGAGGAGCTATTTCAGCGGAAGGGGAAGAGGGGACCGGTACCGGTACCGCCTGGCTCGTCCTCGGGACCTGGCCTGCCTTCAGGTTATGGGTGTGCAACCGCGCGTGCTTTTGGCGGGTGGAGCAGCTCACGTCAGCCATGAACGCTGCCGCAGAAAGGAGCTAAAACACGTCTCTTGCATCGCGTTGAGAAATCGTACGTGTGTGCGTGTGCGCCTGCACGTGTGTATGTGTAGGAACGCCGGCTCCCCTCTGTGGGCGGGGGGATTTGCTGGAGGGGGCGGTTCTGAAGTATAGATTTTTTGGGCCTTGCCCCGCTGCTCGCGGGATCTTAGTTCCCCGACTGGGGATCGAACCCAGGCCCTCGGCGGTGGAGGCCTGGAGTCCTAACCACTGGACCGCCAGGGAAGTCCCAGGACCTTAGTGTTTTAAATACTTGCACGTTATCTGTGCTTTTTAAAAAGCAGCACAACCAGCCAGCCCCGTGTGCAGAGTGGTGGGTCTCAGACGGTAGAGTCTGAGAGCAGACTTGGTGGGTCTGGGCGGGCCGAGGGTCTGCATCTCCCACGAGGGTCCTGGCGCTGTGGCCAGGGGACCAGGCTTTCAGAACCACTGTTCGGTGCCTGTAGTCTGGTCTGCAGCAACTGCCTGTGACACCACAGGTGTCAGAGCTCGTTTCTCTCCCTGGAAGCCCGCTTTCCTCTTCCAGGCCTTTCCCCGCAGTGGGTTGCACGCGTCCGTGTGCTTTCTCTCGTTTCAGCCAGGAAGACCAGCAAACAGGTGTTTGTCAGCTATAACCTTCCAAACACCGACAGCAGCTTCACGTTGCTGGTAGAAAACAGGATCAAGGAGGAAATGGAGGCCTTTCCCGAGAAGTTCTAGCCGAGGCGGCAGCAAGGATGCAGACGCGCACGCCCGGACAGACGTCTGAATAAACGGGTGGGGTCTCGCCAGCTGTCAGCAGGGTCACGCGTGACGTTTGTTTTTTAAAGGGTCGGTCTTCCCGCCGTCACTGGAGTTGGGCCCCAGGGCTGCACCTGCAGGAGGAGGCAGGCGAAGGGCAGGGAAGGTTCCTCGTGGTCCTGGGGGGAGGGGTTCGGGGCCATTGTGGGATGGAGGGGAAATCAGTGACGACTCCGTCAGGCCCGTCTTGTCACGACCGGGGCCCGAGGTCTGTGGTCTGTGAGGTCCTTCTGTCATGTGTCCCCACGTCCCGCCGCTCCCTGAGTCTCACTTCTCTGGGCGCTGTTTCCTCACCTGTGAAGTGGGACGGTCTTACCTGGCTGGGTTATTGCTGGAAATGCTTCGCAAACCCCGGTGCCGTGGCCCCTAGGACCTGGGTCACGGTTTTACCCTCTTTGTTGAATGGATCTGAGTGCGTCAGCCCCTCCCTGGGCTTCCTGCTGCCCTGTCTGTCCTTCGTCCCCTTTCCTCCAAGTCGCAGGCCCCTGCTGCGTCGTCTTAATCCTCGGCCTTTTCCTGCCGCTTCAGGGGGAGGAGCCTGGTCTTTCTGGTGCGCACAGTCCTTTCCAGAAGCCGGTGTTTCTCAGGTCAGTGGCTCGTAACTTCTCTTCCGGTCGAATTGCTGGCAGAGCTTTTACAGGTTGCCCTCCCCAGACCCAGGCGGCCGGAGGCCCAGGTTTTGTGGGGTTGGAAAGCCCCCCCACGTGCTTCTCAGCACAGCCAAGGCCGAGGACTACAGGCAAAAGGACTCTCTGATCTTTGGGGTCCACGTGGACCCCTTGTGTCAGGAGAGGCGGATGGTTTCGGGCCCTGTGACACGGTTCACGCGATGGGTGGCAAGCCCTGTGTCGAGCCAGTGCAGGCAGCCAGGGCGGCGACACTTTGGCCGGGACGGAAAGGCCCTTCCGGGGACCAGGTCTGGGGCTCGGGACGCTAACCTGCAAGGCCCCGGCCGGTTGTGGTTTGGAAGCACAGCGGGCACCTTTCTGGGAAGAGCAGGTAACGCAAAGTCAGGGCGATGGAGAGGAGAGTCCGGTGCAAAGTCCTGATTAAAGAAGCAAGTGTGACAATCGTTTCCTCTCTAGGGACTTTCAGGCCATGGATTAGATTAGCAGGACATCCACACACAAGAGAAAAGAACTCTGAAATCTGTTGCCCCCCATTTCTTGGGGTCTACGAATGGCAGTTTGATGTTTCCTCTGCCCGCCTTTACGATGGGCAATCTGCAGGCAGAGAAGCCCCCTGCGGTCCCCCGGGGGCAGGGCCGAGGCTGGGTTTACACAGGCGCTAAAGTAGGGACACAGCGAGACCTGAATCAACAGTTTATTACTCGTAGCCAGCGGTCATGAAATGCCCTTCACTGGATACCATCAGATGAGGTAGGGAAGACATTCCAGAGGAAGTTTGTGAATGGGGCAACATTTTTATTTCTGTACATTTACATACAAACCTCCCCCCAGGGTACAACAGCTGTGACGTCATGCAGACAGGAACGTGGAAGGACAGGCCAGGACTGGGTGCAGGTTTGTGCTGGGAGCAGGCACCTCCAGGCGTCCCGTCCGTACGCAGGCCACAGGGTTCTCACACAGAAACCTCCGGCCCGGGGCTGCTAGGCCACCAGGGCACCCCCAGCGGCACGCAGGCCGCCCCGCGTCGCCACCACCCTGTGGCCCAGGGGCTTGTCCTTTCGCGGCACCTCAGCCGCCCTCGCGCGGCGCCAGGAAGTGGTATTTGTGTGGTTTCTTTCTCCTGCTGCTCTGTGGCCGGACCAGCTTGCCAGCCCCCCTGCCCCTAGTTGCAAGTGGTCATATAGTCTTTCAGAAAATGCAACATTTAAGACTTTTACTGTGTGTTTCGGGTGCTAGTAGGCAGGGTATCGGGTGAGCTGTTACTTGTGTGTTTTGGGTGCTAATAGGCAGGGTATCGGGCGAGTTGTTACTGATTTCCAGATAGGAACAGGAGGCAGGAGGATCATGTTTGTGCCTGACTCGTTGGAAAGGGGTCCCGGCTCCCGGGGGGCTGGGACTGAGGGCTCAGCGTGATGCCAGAGGAGGAGCTGGACCTTCCCGGGCAGTGGGCCGGGCGAGCCGGGCGGTGGACGTGCAGCGGCAGGCGCCTGAGAAGCGTCTCTCCACTAAGCATGGAGGGACCTGGGCCGAGGGGTCCACGCGTGAGCGCGGGGGGTCTCACAGAGCAAGGCAGGACCGGCCCCAGCTGGGCTCGGGGCTGCCTCGCCCGTGTGGTGTGGGGTCTCATGGGGCTCGGCCCACGGGAAGCTTTTCTGCTTTGGCCACGCTCACAGCTGTCCCTCAGGGGACCAGCCTGACCCGGGGCCGCAGGAGGGGGCACAGAGGAGCCAGGAACCTCCCCTCCCTCACACCTGCTGTGCCATCCCCTCCCTCACACCTGCTGGGCTTTGGTCCCGGGAGCCCAGCCCTTGCAGCCAGCTTCTCTTCTAGTCCACGAGCTGGTCCTGACCACTGTGGTCACAGTGCTGGGCTCCGTGGGACTACTGTTGTCACTTAAGACGGACCTCGGACTTTGGAACAGGGGTCTGGGAGTGCCGTGCCCGCCTTCCTGGAGGTGCTGGCTGCCCCCTGCGGCTTGAGCATGATCCCTAAAGGTCTACACGGCCAGCAGGAGGGCACGCATGGCCTGGGGTCCGGCGAGCAGCCTGGCTGCAAGGTGTCCTGGAGCTGGGGTGATGGGTGCAGACACACCTGGCAGGTGTGGCCCAGGGACCCCACTGGCCCTGCGCCGCACGTCCCGCCCTGGACCGGGGACCCTGTGGACGGCATGCTGAGAGAGGCTGAGGCGCTTCCCAGATTTGGCACTCGAGCTGCACAGGTGTGAAGAAAGGCCTTGTAGATTAGGTGACTGCGGACAGACGCTGAAACACAGAACAGACGTGACTCAAGACACCAGGCAGGGCCACGAGGGGCTGGGCCGGTGGCCCTGGGACTGGGCGGTGTAGCTGCTGGCACCACACAGGCCTGCGAGTCTGCTCACCTCCTCGCGGCGTTCTCACCGAGCCAGCGGCTCCTCCCCGTGGCCGCCAGCTTGTAGGGGCGCCGTGGGGGGATGGCAAGACAGACTGGATGGGACAGGAGGCGAGCGGGGACGTGCTCCACCTCTCTCCTGGGCCTCGGAGTCCCCTCGTTGCTTCCCATGGACCCGGGGCCACACCTTCCCTGGAAGAAGAGCCCACGGCAGAGGCACCGTGGGGAGGTGGACCCTTCCAGGAAGAGCCCAGGCTATCCCGGCGCTGCCACAAGGCAGTGCCCGCCTGGCCAGCGAGGGCTGTTTCTCAGCATCTCCCCGCGTTTCCTCTGAAACGGCTCCAGACAGGTGCAGAGAGCCTGACCTGGAAAGGCAGGGGGACGAAGTGAGGAACACGACGAAAACCCTCGGAGTCGGGTGGGGCTCGAGCTTTGGTGAGTTATTGCTTCTCTCAGTTGGTCTTGATGTTCTTGGAGGCTGCGGTCAGCTGGGCTCCCCGGTGAGGGGCGTGCTCCAGGCCCAGCTCCGTGCTGACGGAAGCAGAGGGATCTGGGGTCTCCGCCGGCGGCCAGCGGAGCCGAGGCCTCCAAGCTGGTGATTTCTGCGCGGTGTGTGCTCGGGATGTGGCTGACGGGCCGTATTTGCAAGAGCACCGCTCCCTCCTGGGGGGCTGCCTTAGTTGCCTATTTAGTGATTTTCCTATTGGTTTTAGTTCAGGAAGTAGCCGTGCGTTCATGTCGTGCTGGCAGAAAAGCTGACTGCAAGAGGGGACTTTCCTGCTGGAGCTGAACCGGGAGGAGGGGTGATAACAGTAACTTGTCTCCGACTCGATGCGTCTGCTGCTCGGGAGCTGAGCTGGGCAGACCTGCCTTGGAAGACCCTGGCGATACTGCCACTAATCAGGATCTGGTGAATGGTTAAGCTTTTCCCCCAAAGAGCTTCCAGCATCAAGTATAAAAGGATGATCTCGTGGGAGAGACTAAGCTGGTTTTAATGATACTGTGAGCTGCTTTCCCCCAGCACATGGAGCAGAAGCTCTTACCTTACAGAGAAAACCTTTAAAAACCATACACAGACTCTAGCAAAACCCTAACCATTTACATTTCAGTCTGAATAAGGCGCAGCTGTGGGAGTGCTCCAGACGGTGGCTGGTCGGTCTCTGCGCACGGCCTCAGGGACAGCTGGCTCTGAGGGCGCAGCCGACCTCCCGGGGAGCCTGGGCTGCGCGGTCCTTACGGCGTGTCCTCGGCCACCGCGGCCCTCTTCCCGAGGAGGTGGCTCCATTTCGAGATCCGTGAAGGGAAGGGAATAAAGTGCTCCTTTTAAAAATGACCAAAATAAATACAAACGTTTCATGGCAGAGAGGAAAGTCTTTGAAGGGTCGTTTGCAAAGTCCTCTTCCTCAGACATGGGCTCCTCGGGGGTCCCCACGCAGGACTCAGCAGAGTGGGCCCGCCCGTGGCCACGGTCAGCCTGGTCCGCCCCCGGGGCCCTGCTACATGGGCCGCCTGCCGTTGGCCGTGGCACGGTCCGGCAGCCCGTCGCCCGCGGCGGCCGCATCGTGCAGCCCCGAGTAGTCCTTGAGCTCGGCGTTGGTCAGCAGCAGGGGCTGCTCCCCGCGCCTGGGCGGCAGCAGGGGCTGGCGCGTGTAGTGCTCGCCGTCGGGGATGCTCTCGGGCAGGTTCTGGTCCCGGCTCTCGGGAAGCAGCAGGAGGCAGATGATGCAGATGAGCGTGCAGCAGGCAAAGATGATGTGGTGCAGGAAGTAGCCCTTCTGGTTGTGCAGCTCGATGATGGGCGCCGTCAGCATGCCGAAGCCCGCACTGGCCAGCACCAGCCCCAGGCCGCCGCACCTGCGGGAGCGCACAGGTAGGCAGCGGGTCGGGCCCACGGGCACCAGCGCACGGCCAGCTCCCCCCAGCCCCCTTCACCTCCTGCATCTGCTGCCACCGCTATTCAGTGAATGTTTTCCTCGCCAGCCCAAAACTTCATACTTCATTTAGTTTGAAAGGTGACTGTAATAAATACCACCGTAAGGGGACAACCGGCCTCACTTGCCGTGAATAACGTAACATTTTGTTTCTCAACGCTGTATCAATTTACGCTGTTTTCCCGACGCTCGCTCTTCATTTAGAAGCCGGGAGGGCGGCCGGGGGTTAAAGAAGCCATTAAGGACACGTCGACAGGAGAGCTGCCGAGGTGGTGGAGCAGAAAGACCCCCCCGCCCCAGCTCGCCTCGCCTCTTCCCGTGGGCAGGCCGGACTCACAGCTGCGCGCGGAGCAGCCATCGACGGAAAGGACCAGAGCCTGCCAGAAAAGATCTACAACTGAAGACACAGGAGGACCCACAATGAGACAGGTAGGAGGAGCAGACGTGCGAGATGATCAAGGCTCGTGACCCCCACCGGGTGGGCGACCCACACACTGGAGAGCGAGCATGTCGCAGAGGTTCTCCCACAGGAGACAGCTCTGAGCTGCACGTCGGGCTCTGTGGCCCCCGGGTCCTATACCAGGAAAACGGGCCCCCAGGACGTGTGGCTTTGAAGGCCAGGGATGGGGGGCTTTCAGGGGTCCCAGAGGACTGGGGGAAACAGAGACTCCACTGTTACAGGGAGTACACAAAATCCCACGTGCACTGGGACCGAGGGCAGAGCAGTAACTTGATAGGAGCCTGGGCCAGACGTACCTGCTGGACTTGGAGAGCCTCTCGGACAGGCAAGGGGGCAACCGCAGCTCACCCTGGGGACATAGATGCTGGTGGCAGACATATCTGGGAGCTTCCTACCATGGGGACGCTGGTGCCGGCGACCACTGTCTTGGCTCATGAGCTCTGAGACCTGGTCCCACCCAACCGCTTGTAGGTGCCAGCGCTGGGACAACCAGCAGGGTGGGAACACAGCCCCACCCCTCGGCGGACAGGCTGCTTAGAGACTTCCTGAGCACACAGCCAGCCACCTCTGGACATGACCCTGCCCACCAGAGGGCCAAGATTCAGCTCCACCCACCAGCTGACAGGCGCCGGTCTCTGCTGCTAGGAAGCCTGCACAAGCCTCTAGACCAGTCTCGCCCACCACGGGGCAGAAACCAGAAGCAAGAAAACCACAATCCTGCAGCTTGCAGACCTTGGCTGCTCACAGCAGGCCAATGCAAGCTTCTGGACACCTCGGACCCCATACCCAACTGTGTTAGGAACTGGCCCCAGCCACCAGCAATCTTACACCAGCTCTGCGATCCCTGGGCCCTGCAGCCAGACTCCAGGACCCAGCTCTGCCTGCCAGCAGTCTGGCACTCACCCCAGGACCTGGCTTTACCCACCAGTAGGGGGTCAACAGCTCCAGAGTTGCCTGGACCCTGACTTCACCCATCAGTGACCCAACACTAGCCCCAGGGTCCCCGGGGATTCTGCAGTCAGCCGCCTCCTGACCAGGCCCCACCAACCAGTGGCCTCCACACAAGGCAGAGCTTGGCAGTCAACCAGACCGGGTGCCAACTAAGCCCACCAGACCACCCACACAGCCCTCCAAAACAGAAGGAACCATGCGGCCCTCACAGGGGGCACCCCTAGAGCATACAGCTCGGGTGATGAGGGGGAGCGTGCTGCTGGGATGCATCATGTCTCCTCCATGCTTCTGAGGTCGAGAAACATAACCTACCACATAGATAATATACAAAACAGCAACTCAGACAAGATGAGGTGGCACAGGAACATGCTGCAGACGAAGGAACAAAATAACCCCCCAGGAGAACAACGAAGTGAAGTGGAGATAGGCAGTCTACCCAAGAAAGAGTCCAGAATAGTGACAGTAAAGATGATCAAAGAACTCGGGAAGAATGGATGCACAGAGTGAGGAGGTAAAAGCTTTTAACAAAGAGTCAGACAATATAAAGAACCACCATACAGAGAAGAAGACTGTAGTGACTGAAATGAAGGAGTCGGCAGTAGACTAAGTGATACAGAGGAATGGATCAGTGAGCTGGAAGACAGAGCAGTGGGAGTCACTGCTACTGCCGAACAGAAGAAAGAAAGAATGAAAAGAAGTGAGGCCAGAGTAAGAGGCTCTGGGACAACACCAAGCACACTTAATGCTTTTGCATTATAGGGGTCCCAGAAGGAGGAGAGAGCAAGGGGCACAGAACATATTTGAAGACATAACCACTGAAGACTTATTTAACCCAGGCAAGGAAACAGACATCAAGGTCCAGGAAGCACAGAGAGTCCCAAACAGGATCAACCCAAAGAGGACCACTCCAAGACTCACTGCAATTGAAACGCCAAAAAAAATAAAAACAGAATATTAAAAGCAGCAAGAGAAAAGCAACAAATAACATAGAAGGGAGACTCCCGTCAGGCTATCAGCTGTTTTTCAGTGGAAACCGCAGGCCAGAAGGGAACGGCATGATCTATTTTAAATGATGAAGGGACAAAACCTACAACCAAGAATACTCTACTCAGCAAGGCTCTCGTTCAGATTTGATGGAGAGATCAAAGCTTTACAGACAAGCAAAAACTAAGAGTTCAGCACCACCAAACCAGCTTTACAGCAAATGTTCAAGGGACTTCTCTAAAAGAAAAATAAATGGCTACGACTGGAAACAAGAAAACTATGAAATGAAAAAACTAAGTGGTAAGGGCAAACATATGGTAAAGGTAGGAAGTCATCCACAAACAAAGCTAGTAGGGGGGGGTTAAAAGACACAAGTAGTAAAATCATCTATAGCCACAATAAGCAGTTAAGGGATGGACAGAACAGTTAGGTGTAAAATACGATGTCAAAGACAGTCATGGTGAGGGGAGAAGGGTCCAAAGGCAGGTTTTCTTTTGTTTTTGTTTGTTTCTTAAAAATTTACTTTTGGCCGCATTGGGTCTTTGTTGCCGCACGGGCTTTCTCTAGTTGCAGTGAGCGGGGGCTATTCTTCGTTGAAGTGCACAGGCTCATTGTGGTGGCTTCTCTTGCTGCGGAGCACGGGCTCCAGGCTTGCGGGCTCAGCGGCTGTGGTGCGAGGGCTTAGTTGCTCCGCGGCATGTGGGATCTTCCTGGACGAGGGCTCGAACCCGTGTCCCCTGCACTGGCAGACAGATTCCCAACCACTGCGCCACCAGGGAAGTCCCAAATGCAGAGTTTTAAAAGTATATTTGAAATTAAGAGATCAGCACCTTGAAACAGTCACATGTATACATAGACTGCTATATAAAAACCTCATGGCAACCACGAGTCAAAAATCTGTAATAGATACACCCATAAAAAAGAAAAAGGAATCCAAACATAAAACTAAAGATATCACAAGAGAAGAAAACAAAAGAAGAAAGGGGGATAAAGACCTCCAAAATCAAATTCAAAACAATGAACAAAATGGCAGTCGGAACATACATATCGATAATTACCTTGAGTGTAAATGGACTAAGTGCTCCAACCAAAAGACACAGGCTCGCTGAATGAATACAAAAACAAGACCCGTACATATGCTGTCTGCAAGAGACCCACTTCAGACCTAGGGACACACACAGACTGAACTGTGAGGGGATGGAAAAAGACATTCCATGAAAATGGAAATCAAAAGAAAGCTGGAGTAGCAATTCTCAGACAAAATAGACTTTAAAATAAAGAATGTTACGAGAGACAAGGAAGAACACCACATTGTGGATAAAATGATCAATCCAAAAAGAAGGTATAACCATTGTAAATATATATGCACCCAACACGGGAGCACCTCAATATATAAGGCAAATGTTAACAGACATAGAGGGAGAAATTGACAGTAACACAATAATAGGGGGCTTTAACAGCCCACTCACATCAATGGACAGATCATCCAGACAGAAAACCAGTAAGAAAACACTGACCCTGAATGACACACGAGACCAGATGCACTTAATTGATATATAAAGAGAGCATGCCAACTGAGAGCAGCAGAATACACATTCTTTCCAAGTGCATATGGAACACTGTCCAGGATCCAGATCACATGCTAGGCCATAAAACAAGCCTTAGGAAATTTAATAAAATTGAAATCATATCCGGCAGCTTTTCTGACCACAAAACTATGATACTAGAAGTCAACTACAAGAAAAAGAACTGCAGAAAACACAAGCACATGGAGGCTAAACAATATGCAACTAAACAACCAGTGGATCACTGAAGAAATTAAAGAGGAAACAAAAAAACACCCAGACACAAATGAAAATGAAAACAGAACAATTCAAAACCTATGGGACACAGCAAAAGCAGTTCTAAGAGGTAAGTTTACAGTGATACAAGCTTTTACCTCAGGAAATAAGAGGAATTTCAAATGAACAACCTAACTGTACTCCTAAAGGAACAAAACCCAGAGTTAGTAGAAGGAATGAAATCATAAAAATCAGAGCAGAAATAAATGAAATAGAGACTAAAAAAACAATAGAAAAGATCAACGAGACCAGAAGCTGGTTCTTTGAAAGGCTAAACAAAATTGATAAACCTTTAGCCAGACTCATCAAGAAAAAAAGGGAGAGGGCCCAAATCAATAAAATCATAAATAATAAAAGCAGTTTCAACTGACACCGCAGACATACAAAGGACCATAAGAGACTGCTGTGAACAACTATATGCCAATAATAATAGTCAACCTAGAAGAAATGGGCAAATTCTTAGGTACAATCTCCCAAGACTGAACCAGGAAGAAACAGAAAATATGAACAGATCAATTACCAGTAATGAAACTGAATCAGTAATTTAAAAACTCCCCAAACACAAAAAAGTGCAGGACTAGATGGCTTCACAGGTGAATTCTACCAAACATTTAGTGAAGAGCTAAACCCCCATCCTCCTCAAACTATTCCAAAAAAACTGCAGAGGAAGGAACACTTCCGAATTCA